ATAGTTTACATGGTGGCAATTCTGTAACAACGATATCTTGTACTATGTTATGTTTTGTTTCTTTTAAAATATTCAAGACGAGATTTTGAAGATTAGTAAGAGACATAATAATGATGAGTTACCAGATAAGTTTTTAATAATAAAATTACTTATACTTAGCTTTTTTATATAGTTTATTTCTCACAACTAAAAAATTTAATTTGCAGATTTCATAAACTAATTTTGGGTTTGACGATCCGTTCATTCACGAATTATTTAGTATAGAGGGAATCGCTCGATCTTTGCTGGCAATTGTGGATAAAAAATTATGCTTAAGGGTAGACCTAAAGGGTCATTGCTCTGCAATAAGTGCGGTTAGTGAGTTGGTTAGCATATATAACTTTACTAAAAAAATATCTAATAGGTCTGATTATTTCCAGATAGATTTTTTGCAAAGCAGGCCCGAAGGGGGTGGACTCTAATAGAAAATTTCAGCGATAGTATCCGGAAGTGTAAGTGGGTTATATGTTTGCATGTTATATCGTATATATCAAACATGTATTAAGTAATCTTTTATCTTTTAATTTGAAAATTTTATTAATTATATGTGGTATATATTTCTCCGAAATTAAGTAGTCAAGTCAGAAATTAATACGTAGCATTATGTAGCAAAGCTATATATATTTATTCTTCCGGAATTTTACAATCACCATATAGGTATGTTGTAATCCTATCTTGATCTATCTACAATTTTGTATCTAGTAGGTTAATGCTCCTCTTTGTTTGCTTTATTCTATACATTCGATGTTTGTAACTTCGGAGAAATTGTGTAGTTCGTAGTTGATCCTCTTTTCCCTCTAAAGCACAGTCCTCGAATATTTTATGAGTAAACTCTCTTTTGATAAGTAATTTTTTCAGGCCTTTTGCTTTTATCATATTTTTTCCTGAATTTTCACACACAACACTATAGCATTTTGCACGAACTCCCGCATAGCCAATAGCTCGATCTCCCCCATTTTCATCCTTCCACTTACCTATAACTTTAGTATTTTTTAAGACACGCTTACCTTCTTTATTGATTATCCACTGATCTTCTGGAAGATTTTTTATTAGCCAATGATCTTCTGGATAGTCACTAAAATCGTATAAATCACAATCATCGATCATGTCCTGATAAATATTTTCGGTTTCAATTTCTATGATTAAAGAATCTGTATCTGTATATAAAAGCCTTACTCGATCCCTATATTTCTTTTTGAGATGACCATACCAGAAGTCATATATAAAGTATTTGGAAAGATCAAGAATACACGCCCCACATATTCTGGCTTATTTAGTTTTACATTAGTTTGTCTTCGATGCACAGCTACTAAGTTTGCTCCATAGAAAATTTTTCAACTAACAAATGCTGGATCTGAAATTAGTCTTCGTAATCTACGTTCTTCTCCTACCTGCCTAACTAAATCAATATTTACCCATTTTTTATAGTTTTTCAAAAACTAAGTTGTTCATCAATTTCCAGAAATCTTTTTCAAAGGCATTCTTTGCTTTTGCACATCGTTGAGTATTCATTGCAATGTATGGTTCCAACCATGGTGATTGTTCGAAACCTAAAATTCGATATACTTTTTCAAGAACATATCCTTCCTTTATACATTGTTGTAGATTTCTATAATGAATAACATAATGGT